TGAAAAATGTTTATTAAACCTTCTTGCTTTCAGGGAATTTGTGTTTTAATGGGATAAAAGACATATTTAGTCAAATAAAGTCTTCTCTAATGGTAGAATTTAATTTTAGTGAGCAGTTGAGGGATAATTTTTGAAGCTAAGATATTCTTATTGGGATCTTTGAAATTATAAATGTAAGTGATTACTCACTTGACCTACAAAGTCAATCTCACCCATGTCCTACTGTTGGGCCCCTTCCTTACAACAGAGAAAGTTGGGAAGTCTATTGCTTGCTGTGGGTAGAATGACTGCATCCTGCGATCCAGGTATTCTTGGTTCTTTTTCACCATTGAATGCTTAAGTGGAACTTGCTGGTGAGCATTCAGATAGAATGTTTGTAGCAAGTTCAAGTCCCACAGTCATAAAGGCTTGCACTGCAGGCCTTTACCTTGTTTTTTTGTTTGTTTTGTTTTAAAGTCAGTCGACAAATATTGATTAACATTTCAGCTGTCTTCTCAAAGACATTTTGACCCTTTTGGTTCCATTTTCTTTGTCTGTTAGTGTGTCCTGGAACAGTGCCCTCTGTAAGTAGCAGAAACTGTGATGGCTCTCTATCCTTTCTGTAGAAGGAAGTCTGTGTGGATGGTGTGCAACCTTCCATGCTTAGAAAGGCTGTGTGCTTTAAGGTGTAGTGGTCAAGAGCTTGGGCTTGGCCACAGATGGCCTGGTCTTCATCTAGGCTTTGGTATGTACTGGCTGTGTTATCTGGAGCAAATTACTTAACTTCTAAACCTTACTTTCCCCGTCTGCACAGTGGGGATAATGTTAGTACCTGCCGGGGGGGGGGGGGTGGTGGTGATTAAGATTAAATGATGGATTTAAAGAATTTTGCACTGTGCCTGGCACCTACTAAATACTGAATAAGGCTAGCTATGATTGTTTTCTTTTTGGCTCAGTGGTTCAAATTTTCTTTGGGTATCCTTAAATGTTCATGTTTAGAACACAGGAAATTGTACAGAAGCATCTATAGGACTCTGTGGAAACTTTTAAATTGGACTTCCCTAGAGTTTTTGAAATTGAATTACCGTATTTGCCGGCGTATAAGACGATTTTTTGGCCCTGAAAAATATGCCTCCAAGTGCATGTCTTCATTTTGTTCTTAAATATAGCTGCATAGACTGCCCATAGTGCTTGCCCCGTGCCATAGTGGCCTCCCGATGCCCGCCCACTTCATTCCACATACCGTTCAGGCATCAGCAGCGCTGCTGGGTGTGTGCTCGGCTGTTAGGCGATTTTGCTGTTATGCGATTTTACCACACTCGCAAAATCGCACACAGCCGACCATACACCCAGTATGATAGCGCAAAATCGCGAATCGCGATACCATACTGGGTGTATGGGTGGCTGTGTGCGATATTGCGAGTGTGGTAAATTCGGGTTACCGTATATTTCTTTACATATGCATTGAAGATTCGCGATTTTGCGCTATCATGGTGCCTGTTAGAATGTTGAAGAGCTCGCACTTGCGCACTAGTGAGGTCCCAGGGA